GACACCAAAAGGACGCGGTTATGATGTCTTCGACACCAAAAAGATTATTTTCATCTGACATAGACAGCATTAAATTTGTGTGTTCACTAAGTCAACACTAAACTCGTCATTGTGTTGTCATAGTCAACAATAAACTTGTCATTGTGTTGCCTAATCAACACTAAAGTTGCCATTGTGTTGTCATAGTCAACAATAAACTTGTCATTGTGTTGTCATAGTCAACCATAAACTTGTCATTGTGTTGTCATAGTCAGCAATAAATTTGTCATTGTGTTGTCATAGTCAGCAATAAACTTGTTATTGTGTTGTCATAGTCAGCAATAAACTCGTCGTTGTGTTGTCATAGTCAGCAATAAATTTGTCATTGTGTTGTCATAGTCAGCAATAAACTTGTTATTGTGTTGTCATAGTCAGCAATAAACTCGTCGTTGTGTTGTCATAGTCAGCAATAAACTTGTAATTGTGTTGTCATAGTCAGCAATAAATTTGTCATTGTGTTGTCATAGTCAGCAATAAACTCGTTATTGTGTTGTCATAGTCAGCAATAAACTCGTCGTTGTGTTGTCATAGTCAGCAATAAACTTGTAATTGTGTTGTCATAGTCAGCAATAAATTTGTCATTGTGTTGTCATAGTCGGCAATAAAATTGTCAATGTGTTGTCTTCGACAACAATAAAGTTCTCGTTGTGTTGTCTTAGTCAACAATAGAGTTGTCATTGTGTTGTCATAGTCGGCGATAAAATGGTCAATGTGTTGTCTTCGTCAACAATAAAGTTCTCGTTGTGTTGTCTTAGTCAACAATAGAGTTGTCATTGTGTTGTCATAGTCGGCAATAAAATGGTCAATGTGTTGTCTTCGTCAACAATAAAGTTCTCGTTGTGTTATCTTAGTCAACAATAGAGTTGTCATTGTGTTGTCTCAGGTAACATTTTATATGGGATTGTGTTGTCTCAGGTACATGTAACAATACAGATGTGATTATACTGTGTCCGTTGTCATTACATCACTTGTCTTCGTTAACAAGTCTCGTTTTTACTATATGGAGCATTTTAAGTTAGTAGTTCAAAGCTTTGCAAGTTTTCTGGCATGTCTGTGTTGAGTTGATTTAGAATGGCACCATCTGGATCAGTTTAACAGAACCTGTCGAAGAACTGATTTATATATGTTCAATGCCTTGAATTTGTTGGGCATTATTTCGAGAAATTACACCAGTAGGTCCTCAGCATCATCGACTTTCGTTTTTGATAGCAAACGTCTTAACGAAGACAATTCACATTCAGGTATGCTTGATAAACATTGAATTTTTATCAGCAGGCAACTGTTATTTGATGCTGGTTCATATGTCTCAAGCAAATTAACTTTTAGAATTCTTCGTCCATCAAACCATAAAACCAACCCAGATGTTGACGATACTTTTTAAGATACAAATAGTGTCACAACTTATTGTTCTAATTTCCTTTTAAGAGTAATTTATGAGGAGGAAACCTGTCATGAACTACACACTGTTGCCAATAATACTTCTATCACCATGACAATACAATAAATAAAACGTCATACCGTGTATACATGTATGTATCTTTCATTACTTTGGTTTGGGTTACTTAACTCCTTAACGATTAATTAGGAGAAACAGACAGATGTATGTACAAACATATGTTATATTATAAATTATGATGTAAATGTCACCAGTGTGTGGAAATATGTCGGAGTAGAAATGCTGACATTTATACAGCAAGGCTCCCAAATTTATCTTTTTTCTTTCATTGCAATCATTGTTTGTTAGTAAACCGTTCAATTTTCATCCCATTTAGAAATAATAAAAAAAACAGAGGGAAAGGAGAATTAGTTTGAAGTTCAATGTGCTTATGTTTGTACGACACTAATGTTGATTGACTACACTACGGCGAGGAAACCTACTGATGATCATAGAGATATGACATACTCTAATGAAGTGGTTCTTCATGGTCGGGATCGATGTGATGGAGATGACACGCTATGGGAGATCAATTTCTGAGCATCAAGCGTCCAGATGACTTGACCTGATGGGCGTGGTCGTCAATTAAAAATTGCAAAATGTCACTGAAAGTAATGCTATTTAGTAGTTTACAATAAGAGTGTTTCTGATGTTTATTTAGGTTAGTTTTGTTTCTGAATAATATTTCTTTAGGTTTTCAGACAGACAAAACAAAACGGGCCTGGAATCATAACGACATTGCGAGAGAATGAAACATATAGAGATTAGTACGTCAAACACAAAACAATCAAATGTTTGGTAGCAGCAATATTGTTTCCTATTGTATCACCTGTTGACATTGTTTGTCCCAGTAAATAACGACAGCCTACCTCCTCTGTATCACCAGTTGACATTGTTTGTCCCAGTAAATAACGACAGCCTACCTCCTCTGTATCACCTGTTGACATTGTTTGTCCCAGTAAATAACGACAGCCTATCCCCTCTGTATCACCTGTTGACATTGTTTGTCCCAGTAAATAACGACAGCCTACCTCCTCTGTATCACCTGTTGACATTTGTTTGTCCCAGTAAATAACGCCAACAGCCTACCTCCTCTGTATCACCTGTTGACATTGTTTGTCCCAGTAAATAACGACAGCCTACCTCATCTGTATCACCTGTTGACATTTGTTTGTCCCAGTAAATAACGACAGCCTATCCCCTCTGTATCACCTGTTGATATTTGTTTGTCCCAGTAAATAACGACAGCCTACCTCCTTTGTATCACCTGTTGACATTTGCCTGTCTTCACCCCTCCCTGTCTCTCTCTCTCCCCCCGTTGACATTGTTTGTCCCAGTAAATAACGCCAACAGCCTACCTCCTCTGTATCACCTGTTGACATTGTTTGTCCCAGTAAATAACGACAGCCTACCTCATCTGTATCACCTGTTGACATTTGTTTGTCCCAGTAAATAACGACAGCCTATCCCCTCTGTATCACCTGTTGATATTTGTTTGTCCCAGTAAATAACGACAGCCTACCTCCTTTGTATCACCTGTTGACATTTGCCTGTCTTCTTCACCCCTCCCTGTCTCTCTCTCTCCCCCCCGTTGACATTGTTTGTCCAGTAAATAACGATAGTCTTCCCCAATCTTCTACCGGTATCTGCACATACATACACTGCTACACGCTGACATCTGTTTGTCATCCTTCCATATCAACAGAATGGTCGATAGTTATATATTTGATGTGCTGCCTTGCCTGAGCCGACTACCTAACAACAGGCATACATTTACTTTTTTTATTCTGTCTTCAACAGGTGTACTACTCGCATGCCTCAGATCAATCCAAATCTAATCACTGGGGTTTATGGAATATTCATGAACAAACGTTGTTTTCAATCATAGCTCGTGAACTCGTGACAAAGTAACGCTATAGGTAAAACCGCGGTGTTCCCCCAAGTATACTGTCAAAAGCAGGTTCTGCGACATGGCAAAAAGCCGAGTTTCTCGTCGTACTGGCATCAACAATTATCACATCAGTTTCTACCAAGTTTAATTGACAAATGAAGCTTCTTACGGTTTGTTCCGGTACTAACGATAGGGAGAGATTCTCCATCATGCTAGTGTTCCTAGCTGGAGCGGTCTAAAAATCTTCATCTCTGGTACGGTGTGTGACCCACCCGTTGGTTGCTCCTTAGAATTGTAATAAGAAGGCGGAATCATTTAGAGTGACCAGTCTATAAAATGACTGTTTGATGGCTAGGAGTCCATGCCATAGAGCTCACGTTGGTCTTATGTAAGATGAAGCAACACTCCGGCACGCTGTACGATCGGCATTGGAAACGCTATCGATCGGTTTGGAGCAAAGGCTCGGCAAATGGATATATCTGTATGGAGCTAGCGTCATTATAGTTCTAAGTGCAATGCTGAGCTGGAAACATCAAGCAGTATGTGCTGGCACGTTTGCGGAAGAGACACATCGAAAAAATAACATAGTTTTAAAATCTGTTTATTAGGTTGGAACCTTTCTGTAATAGTTCAATAATAGTACTTTTCTAATTAGTTCTACCAGTGTTCACACCGACGGCCGTGAATAATTGTCAGCGTACCTTTTATCAGTCAGCGTGAAAATAAAATAGCAACACGCTCGATTCGCCTAAGCTACGACTTAGAGTGAACAATTTGACTCTGTCGTGTTAGATGGTATCCAACCTAACGGATATCAAAGCCATTTAACCCCCCAAAAAGATCCTGTCAGCGGAAAGGAGATGAATGACAGGTTTCCATGGCGACAGTGTATATGGCCGCATGGTTGCGGTGAGGAGTTTTCAAGAAGATGAGGTAACAATGTCGGGAGATGAAATGTGATGGCGAGCCAATAGATAAGTTTGTGTTATTCCGTGTGATGGAGAAACGAAAAAAAATCTATCGACATGACATGGACGAAGGAGGTGCACGTGTGACGGATAAGCGTTCTCACAGAGATGCTACACAGTAGTAACAGAATGGTCGCTCAGTCTCATGCCCAACATTAGGACGGTCGTGTAAATTACATGGGTACTCCAAACGGAGGATAAACTGTTGGTGACGTCAGCACCTACTAGTCATACACTTCTCATACACCAGCAAGTATTTCTCTACCCGGAACATGGACCGTGTCTTTTATTCGATTCCGAAAGTAGCGATTGTGTCGCGCAAGGGAAACTACCAAAACATTCGGAGAGCACGTGACTAGCGTCAGTTTGTGCATAACAAATAAAAGAGAATGCGGTTCCACATGCCATGGTTCAAGTAATACATTTTCTCGTCACATAATGGCGTTTCATCTGAACTCCGGGCACATCTGAGAAACTAAGTACGCTGGCACTGTTTAATATTAAAAAAAAAACTGTTTTGACTTGCAGTTGTGAGTTGGAATTTGAAATGCCAGATTCACTGTTATTCAGTGGTAAATTTTCTTTATGAAATCAACTTACCGTTTTTGTTTGTGCAATTGATTGAATTTTGAAGAGGATGAGGTTTACCTGTTAATATTAATCGGCTATGCATAATGGGAGAAAAGTTTCCGACTTCTATGAAGAAGTTGGTGCAACCCCTATCCGCAGAAATGGACCAAGGCTTTGTGGGGATGACGAGCGGATACTGTTGAATGTTGGTGGGGTCCGACACGAGACCCATGTCGCCACCCTAAGGAATATACCCTGTACCCGACTGTGTAAGTTAGCAGAGCTTCACGTCATATCTGCAGACAGCAAGAGGGATGAATATTTCTTTGACAGACACCCCTCAGTTTTCAACTCCGTAATAGACTTCTACAGAACAGGTATGTCCTTTTTTTGTACTTCACATTTCACTTTTTGTTTTAAATCTTAACAATTTCCATCTTTAATACGATGTTTCTATAGTACATGTTCTGTGTGTTTTAAATGTCATTCTCTATAAAAGAACCTACAAACAAATGTATGATATCAACTATTCACACAACTGCACGAAGATTGAGAAAGCGGAGTGGTGAGGGAGAGAGTGAGATCCCCTGAATGTCACCAAGCCGTTCTGTATTATTTATAGTATGTTGTTGACCTTACTGTGTGTATGTTTTGGTCTCTGGTGATTTCATGATACGCGTGGCATTGATTTAGTATCATGCTTTGTTTACACGTGCTAGAGCGCGGACAAACCAGTCAGGCATGGCATTTTACTGGAGGTTTATAAATGTCACCAAACAAACAGCGAAGATTAAAGGAGATCAATTGATCAAGTCCTTTTTGTCATACCGTGTATACTACTATTTGTCAAACCTAAAGCCTGTATGTTCATACTATGTACCTAGTGCTGTTCATTTAGAATGAGCTGCGAGTTTCCAGTTCGACGTCTGCTCATCAGCGTCCCGAAACAACACTGAGTAGCAATAACGCTTACATAGGAACCGTGCCGAGACAGACGTGAATCGGTAGTAATGTATAATAGTCTCGAACTTTCGGCATCGTTTATAATTCATTTCAAATAGGACATGAATGCAGCGCTTCTGTGTTGATCATCAAAATGTTTGACGTTTTAGTGGCGATAATGAAAACAGTGTAATGCTAATAGTTGTGTATGCTGGGTTGTTAGCGCGCCGCTAACGAGCTGTCGTATTACGTTTTACTAATGTGCCCAGTGTAAACGTGTTCATGTCATCGTAACCGTGTTTTGTCTGTCTTTGATTTGAAGAATCCGGTTTATTCTGTTCTGTAATAATCCCTCCCTAATTTCGACGGACGATAACCCCACTCCTACGTACATGAAATAGACCCCCGTCCCCGATCCACTACATATATACAACAGACCCCCTCACCCACCACTATCAACCAAATTCTGTAACAGACCCCTCCCCTAATGCACCAAATTCTGTAACAGACCCCTCCCCCAATCCACTACGTACTGTAACAGGCCCCTCCCCCAATCCACCACATACTGTAACAGGCCCCTCCCCAATCCACTACGTACTGTAACAGGCCCCTCCCCAATCCACTACGTACTGTAACAGGCCCCTCCCCAATCCACCACGTACTGTACTGTTGTAACAGGCCCCTCCCCAATCCACTACGTACTGTAACAGGCCCCTCCCCAATCCACTACGTACTGTAACAGGCCCCTCCCCCAATCCACCACGTACTGTAACAGGCCCCTCCCCAATCCACTACGTACTGTAACAGGCCCCTCCCCCAATCCACCACGTACTGTAACAGGCCCCTCCCCAATCCACTACGTACTGTAACAGGCCCCTCCCCAATCCACTACGTACTGTAACAGGCCCCTCCCCCAATCCACTACGTACTGTAACAGGCCCCTCCCCCAATCCACCACGTACTGTAACAGGACCCCTTCCCCACCACGTACAGAAAGAACGGGTGACAAAACTTCGACACGTGTGGATGACAGAACACCCCCATCAAGCACGTGTAGGTGACACAAATCTCCCTCCAGCACGTGTAGGTGACACAAATCTCCCTCCAGCACGTGTAGGTGACTGAAATCTCCCTGCAGCACGTGTAAGTGACAGAAATATCCCTCCAGCACGCACGAGTGACAGGACTATCTAGCATGTACGGGTGAATGAACACTCCCGTTTTAACACTTACGGGTGACAGAAATCTCCATCCAGTACGTACGTGTGACACAACACCACTCCAACACTCTTTTCCTATCATGTACTTTAACTATCCTCTCCCTCCCAGCCTTCCAATCCCCTCCATCACAATCTCGTGTTGAACACTAGTCCTGAAGATGTTTCTAAAAATCTAGCTGAGTGCTTAATTTTCCTTTGGCTTCTCCTGAAACCCTATTAAATAGGAAGCATGTTTTAAACAATATGTCTCTGGTGACATTTTGAGCAGAATGTTTATGTAAACAGTGTTTAGTAATTTCACTATCATGATTATATTGATGAAATTGCATCATTTGTTGGAAGCTGGCCATGTCAAAGCACATGATCTGACATCGTTAAAAGTCGATGGTGTTTTAGGTTACCGAATACCAGACTTTCCGCCAGAAATAAGTTTCTGCTTGTTTTGACAGAGTTGCTGGACTGGACCAGCAACAATAGTTTGTCATTGACATTGATCCGCACGTTTAGAAATATTACGGTATGAATATGATAGGCTTTACATGATGTAAAATGCTGTGTATAGAATAACAATGGGTCACGTGACTGGCCAAAGACCCCGTATACTACATAGTTGTACATTGTACGTTTTAATAGGAAAAATTAACAACATTTGATATCATTGTGGAGTATGAATACAAACACGTTTATAAATTACACTCCAGTTAATTCATTGCACGTGATTTGTATGAACAGTTTAATACATGACACGTGGATTGTATGAAAAGTTAAATACACGACACGTGAGTTGTATGAACAGGTTAATACACGGCACGTGAGTTGTATGAACAGGTTAATACACGAGACGTGAGTTGTATGAATAGGTTGATACATTACTCGTGAATTGTATGAACATGTTTGCACGTGAATTGTATGACTATATTAATACATTACAAGTGAGTTGTATGAATATGTTAATACATTACACATGAGTCGGTTGTATGAACATGATGATATAATACATGTAGGTTGTATGAACATGATAGTATATTACATGTAGGTTGTATGAACATGATAGTATATTACATGTAGGTTGTATGAACATGATAATATATTACATGTAGGTTGTATGAACATGATAATATATTACATGTCGGTTGTATGAACATGATAATATATTACATGTCGGTTGTATGAACATGATAATATATTACATGTCGGTTGTATGAACATGATAATATATTACATGTAGGTTGTATGAACATGATGATATATTACATGTCGGTTGTATGAACATGATAATGTATTACATGTAGGTTGTATAAACATGATAATATATTACATGTCGGTTGTATGAACATGATAATATATTACATGTCGGTTGTATGAACATGATGATATATTACATGTCGGTTGTATGAACATGATGATATATTACATGTAGGTTGTATATATAATATATTACATGTCGGTTGTATGAACATGATAATATATTACATGTAGGTTGTATAAACATGATAATATATTACATGTAGGTTGTATGAACATGATGATATATTACATGTAGGTTGTATAAACATGATAATATATTACATGTCGGTTGTATGAACATGATAATATATTACATGTAGGTTGTATAAACATGATAATATATTACATGTCGGTTGTATGAACATGATGATATATTACATGTAGGTTGTATGAACATGATAATATATTACATGTAGGTTGTATGAACATGATGATATATTACATGTCGGTTGTATGAACATGATGATATATTACATGTCGGTTGTATAAACATGATGATATATTACATGTCGGTTGTATGAACTTGATGATATATTACATGTCGGTTGTATGAACATGATGATATATTACATGTCGGTTGTATGAACATGATGATATATTACATGTCGGTTGTATGAACATGATGATATATTACATGTCGGTTGTATGAACATGATGATATATTACATGTCGGTTGTATGAACATGATAATATATTACATGTCGGTTGTATGAACATGATAATATATTACATGTCGGTTGTATGAACATGATGATATATTACATGTCGGTTGTATGAACATGATAATATATTACATGTAGGTTGTATGAACATGATAATATATTACATGTCGGTTGTATGAACATGATAATATATTACATGTCGGTTGTATGAACATGATAATATATTACATGTAGGTTGTATGAACATGATAATATATTACATGTCGGTTGTATGAACATGATAATATATTACATGTAGGTTGTATGAACATGATAATATATTACATGTAGGTTGTATAAACATGATAATATATTACATGTCGGTTGTATGAACTTGATGATATATTACATGTCGGTTGTATGAACATGATGATATATTACATGTAGGTTGTATAAACATGATAATATATTACATGTAGGTTGTATAAACATGATAATATATTACATGTAGGTTGTATAAACATGATAATATATTACATGTCGGTTGTATGAACTTGATGATATATTACATGTCGGTTGTATGAACTTGTAATACTCTGCACGTGAGTTATAAGGGCATGTTCTTAACGTGATATAATATAGTATGTTGTGTAAAAAAACCTCGAATAGAGGTAGGTTGGGAACACACGGAGAATATTGATTGGCTGGTTGATATGGTGTTACTGGTAGACATGACAGGAGAATGTACATACAGGAAGGTACTGGCGAGAGTATAGGACGTGGTTATGATGAACAGAACATGTATCACAGGTGTACCTGGGATTAGAACATTCATGGACGAGATTTTAAGAATACCTTGCAGGACAAATGCTCGACATATGTGGCATGAAATGGAGATGTGTACACACGTGTAGCTCAACTACATTGCAATGCGCACATAATCGATTCTTACATAACCTGAGGAGTTACCTATATCCTGTATTTATTCGTCATAAACTCCGCCAGTTTTACATCACAAAACACCGCTCACTCAAATACTATCTGCTGCGCCATAATAACTGAAAGCTGCCGAGTTAATAATAGATGAATACGATCGTAAATATCAGATATTCCGTATTATTGCGTAGATTAGTGATGAATGTTGATAGCCCAATAGATTGGATAAGCTTTTCATATTTAATTGAAATGAGAAAACAGATTTCGAAAGAGAGCATTTAATGGACCTTCGTACACCCATTGTGATTGGGGAAACAATAGATATCATTTGTAAATCCACAGTAATGGTTA